AGCGCACCATTCGAGGCGGCCGCCATGTTTGTCTTGTCTTGTGTTGTCTTGTGTGTTCATTCCTTTGTTTAGGAAACACGCGGACCCCGACATTCATTAAAGACAATTTGGAATATCCAAAAAAATAGAAGAGTAAAAAAAGTTTTCTTTTGTTATTGCTATTTTCTGCGTTTTAGAACGATGCATTCTGGTTCATTCTGTTAACAGCATATGATATAATAACTGCTCTTTCATGTCATGTTTCTTCCTTTCATGTCATACAATTCATTTATTAAATAAACATTTATTTATCATCATTAAATATCGGCCACTTTTCCAGGTACTGGAATGCAGCTGTGAACAGTCTTTGGTCACATGGAAAATACTTTCTAGTGATAGTATGGTGGGGGACAAAAACACATATCAACATAAAACATATTGGGTATTTTTTAGTGCTATGAAGAAAAGGAAAGTCAGTTAAGGAATAGTAACAAAGAGTTTTGGAAGGAGGGGTTGCAATTTAGTACAGGGTTTGAGGAAAACCCTTATTTGGTGATACTTTAGCAGAGATCTGAGTGAAATGACAGAATGAGAAAAGAGAATCCCAGGCAAAGGGACAGAGCAGGAACAAAGGAGCTGAGATAGGAATGTGCTTGACGTTTCAGAGAACAGTGAAGTGACAGTGTGACAAGAGTGGCATGAGGGAGGGGAAGAGCGGTAGGAGATTTAATCAAAGAGGTAAGGTCACAGTAAGAACTTTGAACTTCATCGAATATGAGATAGGCTGCCATTGATCATTTAGAGAGAGAAGTTACATGATATGACTTGTAAAGATTCACCTTGGTAGTTTTGTGGAGAATAGACTCTAGGAAGAAAACAAGGAGAGCTGGAAAACCTGTTAGGAGACTATCAAAATAATCTACCGTAATAAATAGCCTATCTTAATAGGCTACATAATGGCCTACATAAATAACCTATATTAGAGAATTAGAGGTGATGGTGGTTTGGACTGGGAGGTTGCCAACAGAGGTGATACAAAATCCTAAAATTTTGAATATATATTGAAAACTTAGCCATCGTGATTTCCCGACAGAGTGGATTCGGCAGGCATGAGAAGAAGAAAGGAGTAAAGAAAAACTCCAAGGCCTTTGGCCTAAAAACTTTAAGAAAAAAGCTGACATTTACTGAGATGAAAAATATTCAAGGATGGAGGAATAAGTTTGGAATGTGAGGAGATAAGAGTTCAGTTATTACAAGGTGTTTGTCATTATAATTTTAAATAGTTTTTCTTTATTGAAAATATTCTACACTTCAGCTTGCTATGGTGGGAATGTTTGTGTATTTCCAAAATTCATGTTAAAATCCTAACGTCCAAGGCAGTGATATTAGGAGGTAGGGTCTCTTGGGAAATGATTGGAGAATGAGGGTGAGGTCCTCATGAATAGAGTTGATATCCTTATAAAAGAGGCCCAAGGGAGCTTGTTTGCCCCTCCCACCAGGTGAGACTGCAGGGAGAAGGCATTGTCTATGATCAATAGGCCCTCACCAGACACCTAACCTGCCTTGATCTTGGATTTTTTTTTTTTCATAAACAAAAGTGGTCTTTAATGATTTCAGAAGTAATCAGCAAAATTCATATGATTCAGTGAATGGGGACTAATCTCCTAACGCAGTAAGGAAAAGTTTAAATTAATTCTGTCAGTTTGGGACTGTATTTCCATATACCTCCAATCTTGGTATTGATTTGTATTATTAAGGTAATGTCTGTATTTTACCTCTTATGGATGCATTTATTTTTATATTTTAAAGAAACTGATTTTCTCTAGATGAATCCAGGGTACTGTAAATCCTCAGTACCATCAAGAGCACCATCAAGAGCATCTTCCTACTCCTTTGTTTTTTTGTTTTTTTTTAGAATCTTGGTAACTCCTGATCCCAGATTGTATCTTTTTAATTATTATTATTATTTTTTATTACTATACTTTATGTTCTAGGGTACATGTGCACAACGTGCAGGTTTGTTACATATGTATACATGTGCCAAGTTGGTGTGCTGCACCCATTAACTCGTCATTTACATTAGGTATATCTCCTAATGCTATCCCTCCCCTCTCCCCACACCCCACAACAGGCCCCGATGTCTGATGTTCCCCTTCCTGTGTCCAAGTGATCTCATTGTTCAATTCCCACCTATGAGTGCGAACATGTGGTGTTTGGTTTTCCGTTCTTGCAATAGTTTGCTGAGAATGATGGTTTCCAGCTGCATTCATGTCCCTACAAAGGACACGAACTCATCCTTTTTTATGGTTGCATAGTATTCCATGGTGTTAACCTCCATAACTGTGAGAAATACATTTTCGTTGTTTATAAACTACCCAATTTATGGTATTTTGTAATAACGGCAGAAACTAAGACAAGCCTCTGGAACAGTGTTTCTAGATTAGAAGTTGCAAAATGAGAGCTTGCAGGCCGTCACTTGTTTTTGTATTGCCACAGCTATAAAAGGGTTTTACAGGTGAACATATTTACAATTGATTTGATGATTGAGAACACTAACTTTGAACCTTAATTAAGTGAAATATAACCCTCTCAAATTCTACTCAGTAGGATAATTTTATTATAGTATTCTTTTCTTCTCAATATTATCACTATGTTTTGAATTTTGTCAAATTTAACATTTGTGGAGATGTGTTTTTTCTTGTTATATGAGAGCCTGCATAATATCCTTGACGTTTCCTCTTGGCCCACAATGGCTGCAATATTTGTTATCTGGGCTTTTATATAAACAATTTGCTGACTCCTGTTCTATAAAAAGTATGCATAAAAATCTCCTGGGAGCTATGAGAAAAAAATGTAGATTTCTGTTCTTCAACCCAACATCACCACTGCTACATCAAATTTGATTCAGTAAGCCAAGGGTGAGTCCTAGGAATCCAAATTTTAGCAAATACTACCATTGATTCTGATACACTTTGCAACACAGTTTGAGAAACACAGAAATGTTGAACAGGTTTCAATACTGTCATTTAACTAAATGTGGGCCAGTACTTCCCCACCAGCATGCCGGTAAATATTAGTTCATCACAAAGATCTTACTGGAGTGAACTGCCACAGGGATCACACTTGCGTATGGTTCTGTCCACTTGCCCAATCACCTTTCTTTGGTCCATAGACTTGTTTGGGAACCAAAGCTTTGTTTTTGGACGAAGAGGTCTGTGGTTCCTAATTTGAGCCCATATGATAATTGATGTGTTGTTAGTCCTGGGATCCTTGTATTTGTTCTTATCTCCCTTTCTATATCATCTTTATTATTATTTATATATGCATGCAGGTATATATGCATGCATCCACCCTCACATTCATCCACCCATTGATCCATTCGTCCATCCAATTTCCTTACAATCACGAAGATTTTAACTTGACTATATTTAGAACAGTCCTCCAGCCCAACTGCCATGCACATCCTGAGTTTTTAATAGGTATGATCTACCATTTGTGCCATAGAAAATTTAAAAAATTTACCAATGCACCTTGGAAAGAGCAAATTTTGGATGTCTAACTGAGTACAAACAGCAAAACATAGGGAGCTTTAAAACCCAAACCATTATAACACATTTCAGAATCATTGTTATTATAAGTTAAAAATTATTGCTTTAATACCTTAATGATTGTAGGAAGTTCTGGAGCTTTTAGGTAGTACATATGAAATTAAGCAAGCAAGCAGTAATGTATCTTCTGAGATAATTTCTAGCATTAAATACTGACACTTTTTAATGAACTTTCGATGTGTGCCACAAGTTTGTATTTCCAAGGGCCGAGTCTTTCTTTTTGCCACCTTTTCTATATTCTCATTGTTTCTTGGGATCTACATTGATGGTGCAACAGAGAGACATGACTCCCCTTTCAGAGTTGTTATGAAAGATTTCCATGACTTTTTTTTTTTAATCCTTTTTATATCTAATCATCACCTTTACAAATTTCTGTGAGGTCTCTCTCTTTAGAGAGAATGTATTAACTAGTATCTGACACAGATATGTCTTCCATTTTTTCAACTGTAAAATTCATTTTTTGCATTCAAAATGGGTATTCAATTGATCTGAAACTCCTCTCTGTTTAAATTGTGAATTCTTAATGCTGACTTAAGTTATTTAATATAATGTTCTTAGTTATTCACTGAGGAATTTTTTTAAGGACAGATTCCATATTGTTTTATGTATTGAGTAACATTTGAAATTTCATCTAACAACTTGAACAATAGATAACCTTTGCATATATAGCAAGATAAACTGCTTTACCAGACAAGGTTAGCAATACTCTAAAAACGTATTTTCCAAGATCAATTAAAATATAATTGTCACGACCCCAAGTTCTCAGCCCCAGATTCCAGTTAAAATTTCAAGCAAGCAATTACTTCAATCAGAAACTCAGCTTAAATGATATTTATGATGAAAATTGCTGCTGAGGGGAGGTTGTAGTCCTGTTTCCCAGTTTATGTATTACCTTAAAATGTACTCAGGAGATATTTTTGTCCTTGACCATTACAATAAATTTTATACATGCAGCTCTCACAATCTAAAGATAATACAAACAGTACTCAGTAGTCTGAGAAAATTATTCTGCCTAAAGTAAAACTGTTTTTCATTTTGGAGACTAAAATAAGAGACATACCTAGTTTATAGTTTTTCATCCTTTCACGGTTTGTTTCACTTATATCAAAATATAAGAGAAGTTTCAGAAAAACGTATCTTCCTACATACTTTTACTCTTTAACTGAGAGGGTTCACACTATTGCAATATGTCTCCATGAAACAAGTAGATAATTTCATTGCCTATGTTACACTTCAAAAGTATTGGGCAGTTTCTCTTAGCATTATCTCTTGTTATGCTTGGAGTATGATTTCATACCACAAAATTTATCCCACATTAGCAATATATATTTCTAGATATATTCCCTAGTCTTTGATATTCATATGCTTCAGCACATTTATACATTATGAAACCACAATTCCAAACAGACCCCATGGCTTTGTCGTTGGTTTAATTCGCATCATTATGAAATTTACATTTTTTAAAAGAATATCTTTAGCTAAATACATTCACTCACACCTAAACAGTAGACAAGTTTTCCACCATGTACAACTTAACATGCAAGTCCTGAAGCTTTGTCTTACCAAATTGTACAATATCAAACACATGCACATCTAATAGCTACAAATAAATTTCTGAGCTGATATTTAGACAGACTATATAATCCAGAAATACCTCATGTATTTTTGAATACTCAGCAAGGATGGGATTGAGATTCAGTGAGGGAGGTAAGAGAATAGAGGGAAGTAGATTAGCACCAATAATTATTTAAGCAAATTCACTTACAAATGAAATACTCCTGAGGCTTAGTGTCACTGTAGTAGTCAAATCAATGATAAAAATAACCATACAAATTGAATACAAACGGTTTGTGATGTTTTACCTTCAATTAAGTATCAAAATAGGCAGAATTTTAATGCCTTTACAGTATTAATTTACACTTCTAACATTTAAATTACTATTTATTTCTCTACATCCTTTAATTCTTCTTGACTTAATTTGCAACTCCCCTATTTTTTTTAAATTCATCAATAAAATAGGAAACAAATTATTCATCCTGACTTGCTTTGCTCTGTAACAATCTTTAATGTAATAAAACTGCCCTTTGAGACAAAAAGACTAAAGTAGGTTCTTATTTCTTTATTTATAAATATTAATATATGATAGATTTTTGTGCAATAAGACCATTTACTGATATACTCTGGGCTTCCTGAGACACTGAAAAAGAAATATTTGTAAATTCCTCTCTGTATTTGTTTTAGTCAGGGATTTAGTCTGCTCAATATCCTCAGAGAGAGGTGACTTAAAAAAAGTTGGCTGTCATTCTGTGTAAATTCACTTACATTACTTTTTAAAATACTGATTTGTAAAGTTCTTGATTTTTCAAAAGCATAATTTATCCTTTTAGAAGTTTCAATTCAATCGCGAAAGGATGTAAAATTATTTAGTTTACATTATAGAAGACTTATTTTTTCATACAAAAGATGCCAACATCTTGTGTTTCACTTACATTAGCTCTAAAACAGAGCCAGTCATGCCATATAATATCAGCACTCATCCCTTATCAGCACTCATCCTTATCTCCCTTAAGCACTAAATAATTTTTAAAAATAAATAAAGTGTGAAGTTCCCAAATTTTGATGAGAAATTTAGTGAGTAAACTGATCTTTTTTTCTACCAAATGGGAGATATTTTGAAGTTGACTGCGCCTTTTGAGAGTGAAAGTATTTGGAGTTAGTTTTTTAAAGTTTTATAAGAATGATATCTTCAGTATTGGTACTTTGAATTCATCAGGGCTTTATTTTCTCATCTTTCCAATGGTAGCTAGATGATTTTTAAATACTGTGATTCCCTGGAACCAAGAGGGATACATTAACTCTCATGAGGCTGCAAGGAATCATTTGTTAAGTTACATTTCATGGGCAGTAAATAAAACCCTAAAATGTGTTAAGAATTAATTCACTTCAAATGAGCATGCTCTTGTATCTCAAGGATTATTGTGGTCATACTGTTGGATTCAGGAACACGACTTTGTGAAATAGCATTGGTCTCAATGGAGCACCCCATTAACTTATAAAAAGTGTTGCTCTACAAATAGACTGTTTGATTTAAGTTATGCCAATTATTAGAAGCTTTGTCTGTTTAAGACAGGCTCATCAATCAAGTATGAAACACAAAAACAATGAAAAAATGAGCATGAGAAGAAGGAAAGCATTGAGAAAACCTTAACACTGTAAGCACTAGTCTATGTAACCAATAACACTATGTATAAGCACCAGTCTGTGTAACCAATCATTTCTCAATTATTTCTTCATAAGATGGGCTTTAATACAAATGGCTTATTCTGTAATAACTCATTTCTTTTATCAAATATTGAGGGAATTGAAAAGCAAACAAATGGAGGGGTATAATTCAGATTATGAATTCATTCATTCCACAAATATTTGTGGAATGCCTCCTATATTCCAGCTATTGTCATAAGTGCTGAAAAAACTTGTTTTATCTGTCTGCAGTCATATATTGATACATTTCTAATTATTCCCTTAAATTAGGCCACTTATTTATAGGGAAGAGGGTATTCACTCCATTCCTCTCTCCCCTTAAAAAAATATTGTAACTTTTTCCCACTGGGCTAAAGATATCACTTACATGTGTAATATTTTATTTTTCTCCTTCACCATTATTACTAGATAGGCAGCAGTATGTGCCAACTTCTTGTACAAAAAAGCCTCCTCAAAATAACCTTGACTGTGATGGCTTGCAATTACAAAACAATATTTTTAGTTTTCTTCTCCTTGGGTACATTTAAAGTTTATACAAGTGACTGTTTTGAAAAGCCAAACAGAACAAAACAAAATTTGTACTAAATGGTGCATTCTTAACCTAACTATTTAATTTGTACTAATTATCTTGTGATAAAAGAAATGATGAGCAAAAGTACAGGATTGAAAAACTACCCTGGTGTTTACATTCAAATAGAGAATATCTTTCCTTTATATTTTCGCTTTGATTTTCACCAACGGAATTTACAGTGTTTTTTTCCAACAGTTTATCAAAGCACTAAACATATATATTTTATCTGTTCTTAGGCATATTTTAATTTCTTCTTTTCTTTACACTGGCTAGCTTTTCAAAAATAGTAATAGTTCAAATCCATTGTTCCAAAAATATATTAAATGCTTTTATTTGATAATTTCTACATTATAGATACCTGTCTAGATTTATATTGAATCAAAGCATTTGTAAAGGCTGCAGGCTAACACTGATACTTCAGGTTTATAAATTTAACTGAAGACTGGTAATGGGTAAAAACAAATTGAGAGTATATATGATAATTACCAACATAAACATTTTAAAGTTTATTTGTAGTTTCATAGTTTTGATGTACGTTAATAATCACAATGGTGTAAAGCAATTTGGCTCAGAAAAATGAAAAATAAGATTTTAGTTTTCCATTTGTCAATCTAAATGCAGAATATATCTTGAAAGTATTCCAAAATTTTGATACATATATCAATATGATGTGCACATATTTTTTTCATCAGATTTAAGCTTTTTGCAAATCATATAAATTTTTTTGCAGTCATGGAATTAATAACGGTTTTAAGCAAGTGATGTTCATCACGGCATTGTTTACGCATGTAAATATGTGAAAAATCACATAAATTAGATTCAATAGCAAACTGTGTAGATAAATTATAATATGTCAACACAAGGGAATACTATGCAGTCACTAAGATGATGATAGAGATTGATATTTATTGTCATAAAAAGACGATTATGGTTCAGTTTAAAATTAAAAATACAGAACAGTAAATATAGTATGGATTTTTGGTCAAAATGTTTGTGTATACATAGGAAAAAATACAAAAAGATATTTACACATTGAAAACGTTCATTGTGGTTATTTCTGAACTGTGGAAATTTTACTTCCTTCTGCACTGTGTACATTTTTTACAATGAGCATGTGTTACGTTTATAATCAATAAAAACAGTAATTTCCATTTTGAAAATATTTGAAAACGAATAAACCTGTAATTTGTAGATAAACAAATACATAGAAACAGCTTATTGTCATTATTTTATGGTCAAAGAGCTAACAAAAGTGTTAACAAAATTATTTATTTACATTGTACTATGTATGAAAATGAAGATTTGTATATAAGGTAATAAAACTGACAGTAGAGACAAAAACATATTCTAATGGTCAAATCTGTGGCATAAGTGAATCATATTATAAAAAAGTAATTATTAAATTTTACATAAATTAGGTATTTTCTTCTTCCTAAAAGGACTTGAACAGGTATATATTTTTAAAAAGGTAATACAAAAAATAGAAAAATAAGTGTAATAGGAATGGAAGGCCGGCAATGAGGAGAACAGGAAACCACAAGTGAAATGTAGAGAATCTCTAATTTAGAAATTACAGGCTAATTAATGTAACTGCAATATTGAACAAAACCTTTTTTTTTAAATTTTCAAACAGCCAAGACATAAAGAAAACCATATTGGTTTCACAGTTCTCATATAATAGCTGGAGGCATATGACTTAATCCAAGAGACAATCTATTCCTTACCTTTGAAACATCTGTGAACATTATCAAAAGGATACAGTCAATAATTTACAAGAGATAACAAGTTTAATAGAAGGTGTTCTTCCAAGAAGTTTTTTAACATCATTCTGTGGATTATTTGCCTTTTATATTGACAATTGATAAAAGCTGAAGGTAAAAGATTAAATAATTTATAGGTAAAGGCAATTCAGTGCAGTTATTCATTTTTCTTGTTAATTTAACATGATCCAAGTATATGTACTAAGGAATTTAGAAAAATGGATGGTAGGAGTGGTACTGAAAGTATCTTCAAATACCAAATCTTTTAGGAAAGGTTTTTAAGATACAATTCTTACTTTAAATAGCCACTGCCTAAAGTGTTAATTTTCTAAGTGACTAATTGAGAAAACACCAATATGCTTACTTATTTGGGCAAGAAATTAATACAACCACTCCCGACAATTAGTCAAAAGTATTATCAAGTCTGTAGTATGTTCACAACATATTAAAAAATGAAACAAGAATACAAATAAATAAAGAAAATAAAATAAATTTCACGTTAAAAAATTCATTTTGCATAAAAATTTTAAGTGAAATTATGCAGATGTTAATTGGATCACATATGATTTTCCCTGCTGTACTGACTTCTAAAAAAGCAAGTTAGAACTTTTCACTATGATAGATTCAGAAGAACCATGTTGACAATATTTTCATGAAAAATAATAGAATATTATTGAAATAAGAAGGGAAATATACTCAATCAATTGCCTCACCTTGACTGTTCAGGAAAAAAAAAAAAAAGTGGAGGAATACACTTTATTCTACATATTTCTAAGGATATTACATCAAAAAAGGTACAAAACGACAATTTTACAATTAGAAATTATGTTCCATTCTAAAATGAACATTTTCTAGTTTTGCATTTTTTTTCAAAAGAAAGAATTCACTTAAAAAAAAAAAAAAAAAAATACTTGTGAATTAGCATAAAATAACCCCTTATCACAAAGGAGCCCAAACGAAGCAGGCACCAACTAAGGCTGAAACGAACTGAGCATTCTTATTCTCAGCACCTGCGCCTGGCCTGGCCCAGGGTGACATGCAGGGGCTTGGAGCCCACTACGCGGCCATTCATCTCATCCACTGCTTTGGTAGCCTCTTCAAAAGAGGAAAAGCAGACCACACCAAATCCTTTGCCTTGCCCCACTTCCATCATCACTTTGGCCCGACTAATTGACCCAAAGGAAGAAAATTCCTCCTTCAGTTTTTCATCATTGATTGTCTCATCCAAGTTCTTAATATAGATAGGCACCCCTGGGGGCCGACTTTTTTCTTTTAACCTCAGCCGTTCAAATCTCCGCCTCAACTCAGCCAGGCGTTCAATTTTCTTCTGTGCTCGCCCTACATAGAGGACTTTTCCATCGATGGACTTCCCATGCAAGTCTAGCACAGCCTTTTGGGCAGCCTCGTGTGTCTCATATCTCACAAATCCAAAGCCTTTAGATTTCCCACTGGCATCTCTTATTACTTTAACACTCTCAGTTGGCCCATATTCACAGAAAAGTTCCTTCAGTTTTTCGTCATCTATGTCGTCTCCAATGTTTTTAACGAAAACATTGGTGAAAGTTGCTCTATCCCTGGTTCTGACCTCAGCCGCCCGCTCTTCTGGGAATTTGAATCTGCCAACATACACCTGGCGGTTGTTGAGCCGCACTCCATTCATGTGCCAGATGGCTCTATTGGCAGCGGCCAGGCTGTCAAAGTGCACATAGGCATAACCCTTAGAGCCGTTGTCATCGCATACGACTTTGCAGGACAGAATGTTCCCAAAAGCAGAAAATAAGTAAAACAGGGCCCTATTGTCTATGGATTTGTCCAGGTTTTTGATGAATATATTTCCCACTCCAGACTTTCTTAAGCGGTCATCTGGCTGAGACCACATAAGGCGGAATGGTTTTCCATTAATCAAATCAAAATTCATGGTGTTCAAGGCCCACTCTGCATCCGCGGGAAAGCGGAAGTTAACATAGCCATAGCCCAGGGGGCTGCGGGTCACCGGATCACGGCAGATTCGGGTGAATCGCAGAGGGCCTGCAGGCCTGAACTTCTTATAGAGCATGTCCTCGGTGACATCTGGGTCCAAGTCACCCACGTACAGAGCGGCCTTGAGATACTTCTTTTTCTTGCCAGCAGGATTAGGCTCCCCGCTCCCCATCTCTCTGAGCACTGGGAGGAGGTTCTCTTTGAAGAGAAAAAAGGCTGCTTTCTCTAAGCTATGGGCCAAACAGCTGTTCAGGAACAGAAAAAGCCAAGGCAGGCAAAAGGAAGCTAAAAGCAGACTCAGAATCACTGTCGAGGCTGAGAAAATGAAGTTCAGAAACAGCTGGTCAGCAGGCTCAGAACAAACACATCAGACAAAAAGGCGCCCCAAATACGAATCTATTCTCCCTGCGGGGACTTAAAATTGTCACCCGTTCAGATTTAAAATCAGTTTCAAAAGCCAGTACCGGAAACGTAATTTTCCTGTCCCCGTGAAATTGTGAGAAGCCACCAAGCAGCTGGCTGGTTCCCCACAACTAGCATTGCAGACAGAGGCCTCCCGACCCGTTTTCTGCATAAATACAGGCCTAGAGCTCCTGTTGGTTTAAAATGATATCAACAAGGGCAGGACCGAGCGCGTATTCCTCCGCCGGCTGCCTGGCCAGTCTCGGGCTGGCTAGCCTTTCGCTAAGGCCTCTCCGCACTCAGCGTCTGCGAACGGGTACACTAGACACTTGGTGCGATAAGACCCGCAGGCAGGCTGCAGGCAGCGGATAGGACACAGAGACAGACAGACAGACACACGCGCGGGGGATCGAAGACCGCCCAGATACCCAAGATGCCCACTGGGTACGGACCGAGTGAGGCGCGGTGATTTCAGCAGCCTGAGGCTCGAGGCAGGTCCGGAGAGACTGACTGGCAAACGCGCAGTGAGTGGGTCAGCTCTGACGCGAGGCGGGTCTGGCCAGATGCGGGGCGGAGTCAGCGAAGAAGGGCAGATGCGCGGCGGGCGGTCCCAGCGCAGACCGATGGGCTGGGGTTTCTCTCCGCAGGACAGTCCAACGGAGGGACCAAGAGCCAGTAGCAGTGATAGGGAGGGGGGACGGGCGGGGCGCGAGAAACCCGGAACCGTGCTAAGTAACTTCCCGCTTCCTCTATGCCAAGATTAAAAACCAGAAAGAAAGAGAGAGAGAAAGGGGGAGAGAGAGAGAGAGAGAGAGAGAGAGAGAGAGAGAGAGAGAGAGAGAAGGAGAGAAAGAAAAATGTAAGATGGCTTTTAGATGTTTCTTATATTTTAAATGTTATTTATTATTTAAAATACTATATTTAAGCTGAACATCTAAAAATCACGTAAGAAGATGACGACCTGGGCAAAAATAATAAGTTTTAAAAAACTAATTATCAATTTAATTTTAGCTTAGGGAAAAGGATAGGTTGCATACTTTCCTGAGTGCATTGGAAAGTCAAAGTTTACAACTGTCCTGGCTTCCCAATCCAGTGCTAAAGGATCACAGGGTCAAGTAGAACACAGGGTCATGTTGCCTTTGGCCTTTAGCCTTACTTTATTAACCTCCAACATAATGGTAATGTTTTCCCCAGGTGGTAAGCAAAGAGATCTTTTCTCTGATCCCATAATACTCAGGTTTTAATGATTGGAGAGCCATATAAGGGCTTTTGATGGTGTTTAGTGCCACAAAACGTTGAAACTGTTGAGCTGCCGCGAAAATTACATTTACAAAATCTCAGTTAAAGAGATAAAAGCCACAGAACCAATGCAAAATATATAATTAATATTTATAGATGAAATAAACATATTAAGATATATGCACTTTACACAATTGTGAATTTCAGCATGAGTTGTCAACTTGAAACCCTTGCAGGAAACAGTGTCATCAGAATGGACTCAACTCAGCGGTTTCTCAACAATATCTTTCTTCAGAGTATTTGAGAAACCCTTGTGGAGAGAAATTTTGACCGTGTTTTCAGAAATTCACTGATATCTAGCATACACAAACAACACTTCAAGGAGCTCCTTCCACAATTTCTACCGCTCCAGAAAAATCCAAACAAAACATCTATCACTACTCTTAGGCTGGAAAAGATCCTGGGGAAAAAAGAGTGCAAGAGAAAGACATTACCTTAGTGGGTGTTTTCCTAGTAAGTCCTCAGAAGAAGAGGCTAAATTAACGTGTTGATTCACTTTATACATTTTACAGTGTCTATTAGACTGTAGAATTAAGACATTAAACTTCATTATTTACTCAGAAACTTAGTAATTTACTTTTTTTTTTTTTTTTTTTTTTTTGCTTGCTTTCTAGTGTCTTTGGTTAACTAAGACATGGAGATTTAGAGAAAAGGCAAATATGAACAACGATATTGTAGACTAATAAATTGCTTTTACACTGTGACCAGAGTGACCAACATGTGGAAACACTTGTGAACATCTGCTTAGTTTATTGCATTTTAAATCTATTTTTATAAACATATTTTCTTATACGCATAATTAACAATGGGTTAGAATTCTAGTCTATTTTTGACTTTTCTCATTTTTAAAATTGCCTTATTAAAAATAGTAAAATAACAACATAAATCCAATTCCCACAATCTCATCATTGATTCAAATAAATGTTTTCATCTGTTCCTGTAGCCAACTAAATGTTGTCCATATTCAAATTTATTTGTACATATTTTCTCTAAGATTATAATTAGAACTGATTTGTTAAAATACACATTTTCAAAATAATCACTTCTCTACACTTACCACTTCCATTTAAAACAGTACTGGAAACCTTAGGCAGAGAAATTAGGCAAGAGAAGGAAATAAAAGCATCAAAATCAGAAAGAAAAAAAGTAAATTAATCTTTATTTGCAGATGGCATAATCTTATCTGTAGAAAACCCTAAAGTCTAATATTTTAAAAATCTCCATACTATCCAAATTGATCAATATAATCCCTATCAAAAGCCCAATGACTTTTTTTTTTTTTTTTACAGAAATAGAAAAAAGCAACCTAAAATTCATTTGGAGCCACAAAAAGAAACAAACAAAAACAACAACAACAACAACAACAACAACAAAAGCCCTGAATAACCAAAGGAATCTGAGAAAGAAGAAAAAAGCTGGAGACACCATTCTTCCTGTTTTCGAAACATATTACAAAGCTACAGTAATTACAACACTATAGCACTGTCATAAAAAACAGACATATAGGCCAATGAAGCAGAATAGAGAGCCCAGAAATAAACTCACACATGTACAGTTAACTGGTCTTTGACAAAGGTGCCAAGAAAACACAATGAAGAAAGTATTGTCTCTTTCACAAATAGTGTTAAAAACTTGGATATATGTAAAATTGGATCCTTATCTTACACTGTACACAAAAATCAACTCACAATACAGACTTTCAACCTAAGATCCGAAACTATACAATTTTAGAAGAAAACTGGGTAAGAGCTTCCTGACATTGGTCTTATCAATGACTTCTTGTATATGACACCAAAACACAAGCCAAAAAAATATAAAGAAAAGTGAGACTACATCAAATTAAAAGGCTTCTGCACAGCAAAATAAACAATCAACAGTGTAAAAGCAACTTCCAGAATGGGAGAAAATTTTTGTAAAAACAAGTATTTGATAAGGGGTTATCATCCCCAAAATAAAAGGAACTTTTACAACTTAATAGCAAAAACAAAGAAAAAACTTGAATAACCATCTCTCAAAAGAAGGAATATAAATGGCTAACGAGTAAATGAAAAGATGCTCAACATCATAATCATCATTGAAATGAAAATCAAACCCTTAATGAGATGTCACCTCACATCTGTTGATATCGCTATTATAAAAAAACCAAAAAGTAACTAACGTTGGCCAGGATGTGGAAGAATTGGAATCCATCACTGTTGGAGGCAATGTAAAGTGGTGCAACTGCTATGGTAAACAGTACGGAAGTTCTTCAAAAACTTAAAAGTAGAAATTCCATATGAAACAGCAATCCTACTAGGATTACTAAATCCTTACAAGGTAACATGTAACCCTACTCCTGCAGTCCGCCAGCATTCATGCTCTTTACCCCTCCCCACACACAAGTAATTGAGTTAATATGTATCCAAGTTCTACTGGATAGTAGTCACATATATTTAGGTATATATCCAAAGTAATTGAAATCAGAATCTCAGAGATATTTGCACTCCCGTGTTAATTACAGTATTATTTACCATAGCTAAGTCTTGGAAAGGACATAAATGTCCATTGATGGTTGAATGCATAAAGAAAATGTGGTATAAACATACAATGGAATATTATTCAGCCTACAAAAAAAGAAATCCTGCAACATGTGGCAACGGGGATGGACCTCAAGAACATTTTGTGAAGTGAAATAAGCCAATCACAGAAGGACAAATAGTGCACGGTTCCATGGTAATGACATATTTAGAATAGTTAGACTCATAGAAACAGAGTAGAGTGGTGGTTGGGAGTGACTGCTGGAGGGGAACTGGGAAATTCAGTGTATATAAAATTTTAGTTACACAAGATGAGTAAGTTCTAGAGATCTGCTGTACAACATTGTGCCTATATTTAAAAATACTATATTGTGCTCTTAAAAAGTTTGTTAGAAGGGTTGATCACATGTTAAGTGTTCTTAGTACAGTTTTTTTTTAATTCAACTATGAAGAAATATGGGTATTGAAAACATATAATAAAAGTAATATAACAACTTTAAGTATATTTTGAGTTAGTTTGGCATCTCCTCAGGGTGATTTTTTATTTTAAAATATTTAATTGACAAAGATTGCATATATTCAAGATGTACAATGTGATGATTTGCTTTAAGTATACATTGTGTAATGATGACTAAAATCAGATGAGCACATCTTAGGGTGCCCTTTTAATTAGATACTATTAGTTTAAAATAAATACTTAGAATAGTACATGTGAATTTATACAATTACTATGTATTCAGAATTCAGTGTCTTTAGAGTTTTATATATAATTAAGCTATTTTCTGTTATGATACATTGAAATAAGGTAGGCGAGTATTGCCTACTTAGCAGATAGTCTCAGACAAATTTCTGTTTCCTTGCTAGTGCTTGTTAACCGAACACATGTCTCATGGAGGGAAAATATATATGTAGCACATTCTCTGATTAACAATCTTGATTTGTAGTCCTTTCACTTGACCTGGAAGAATAAATAAAAGAATAATCATTTTAAAAGATGTGAACATTATGCTTCGTTTTAAATTGTAAACTTGTAAAACACATGTAACAAAAATTACCATCTTAATGATTTCTAAGTGTTTTAGCGGTATTAGGAACATTCATATTGTTGTGCAACCATCACCACTATCTTATCTCCAGAACCCTTTTTATCTTGTTCAACTGAAACTCTATACCTATCAACCTGTGCTTTTAGATGACACTTAAAATACATTATACCATTTCTCTATTGTTGGACATTAAAGCTGCTTTTAGTTATTTTGGTATTCTAACAAACAATGCTATCGTAAACATCCACATTACGTAATACTTTATATTATTCATTCTGTTTCTGTTAAGTAGATTATCAGAAGTGGGGATTGCACAATTAAATGGTATGTATGTTATTAAATGTTGTTATATACTGTCAGACTTGTTTAAAATATGCTGTAGCAATTTATCTATTTTGCCAAAAACATGAAAAATGGGAGGAACTTGGAATTTCTAGCAAAATAGAAATTACCAAATTTCATTGAAAGGAAAAAACAACAATAGTCTTAGAAAAAATTACAGAATGATTACACATGTGCTACTAATAAAACAAACAGGAACAGGTGATTTTGTAGTTGAGTACTGTTATATAACCTTTAAGAAAACATAAGACATGGTGACTCACTCCTGTAATCCCAGCACTTTGGGAGGCCGAGGCAGGAAAATTGCTTGAGCCCAGGAGTTCAAGAGCAGCCTGTTCAACATGGAAAGACCCCAGCTAATTAAACAATCAGCTGGGTGTGGTGGCAGGCACCTGTGTTAGCAGCTACTCAGTGAGGTGAGAGGATCGCTTGAGCTCAG